TTTTTTTTTTTTTTTTTTTTTTAGTTTTCCCTCCATGCTCACTTTTGATGGTTTAAAGCCACATATATATGCTTCCTACAGAAATATCAAAATAGGATATTTCATTTCCAGCTAGATCCAGCTTAGCATGAACTTTTGAGAAAGCCCCTGGGTCTGGTTCTCATCTGGGGGCTTTATCACGTCCATCTGTAAAATGCTAAGTCCATTCTTTAATAAAGTGGAATTACATTAATTTCCAAGGAAGCACTACTACATTAACAAGTACTGGTGTCAGCAACAAGGATGGCAACGTTTCAAAAGGTTTCTGAAGATGTTTAAGGAAAGATAACAACTAGTATTTTTTGAATATTTACTATATAAGTAATTGTGTTTAGCCCTTTGTACACAAAACCTATTTGACCTTTCAAGAAATTCTCTGAGGAACAGCTATGGTTTAGCCCACTGTTCATAGGGTGATAAGATTTTAAGAGTTGACTAACTTAGCAAGACCTGCTCCAGATTAGACTCTGTGGCAGTCAGTTTGACTTCAGATATTGATTGCTTAGCCACTGAGCCATAACAATTTCTTGTATCATGTTAAAGCACTAAAAAGCTTTAGAAGAAATAGAAGAAAAAGAAAAATAACCACCAGATTTGGTCAAATTTGTTCCACATGACTCATTAAATATTTCTTTATTGATTGTGTTGATAATTTAGGGATTGCATAATACTAATTAACTGCAGTCTCATTTTACAAATTGCATACATGGACAATTAGTTTTACCATTATTCTAAAATGTTCAAGAAGGCAAGAGTAACATGAACCAAAATTACAATAAATACTTGGTTCCAAATTCCAATGAACCTCCTCCCCTCACCTTTTAGAAAGAAGCTCATATATTGGTGCTATGGATAAGGAAGGGATGCATACTAAATTACTAAATGTATGACTCTCTGTAGTTGAATGTTTGGATTGTTCAACTAAATGATGGTGCCTAAATTGTAAAAATATAGCATTTTAAAAATTGGGGCTGGGAATGTAGCTCAGGGCAATAGCACCTACCTGGCAAGCACGAGGTCAAGAGTTCGACTCCCAGTACCAAAAAAAATAAAATAAAATAAAATAAAATAAAAAATAAAAATTCTATTATCCATTTTATTTCTTTGATCTTTTATTTAGAAATACTAGAGAGTTCTCAGCCTCCTCTTTAGGGAGAATAGATTTTATGAATAAGAACAAAAGATGAGTTCCTCATAAAAATAGAAATTACTATCTTAATTTAAAAACTTTACTCTCTTTGAATTTGTAATCAGACTTTTTTACTTTTAACTTGGGAGTGTTTACTACGTAAGCACATGATAAGGAAAATATCTTTTGGTGTTATCTTTTGGTTATGTTTTATCTGTTATCTTTTGGTGTCTCAAAGGTTTGCTTGGGAAATAAATTGGGCATACGCTACCAGGTAAGAAAACTCTAGTGTAATATATGTAATTATGTGTGGTCATGTAGCTACTAACATAACCCCAGTAGTTTTATATCGGTAATCCACCCACTACCACAGATTGAACTAACATTGAAATCAAGTGACCTCAGCACTGAACTCTTACCCCTCTTCAGCAGTCATTTTTTAAATGTTGGTGGAGAAGAAATTTGTCCCACATTACAAGCCATATTTCTGCAATATTGCCAAACTCTGATCTCAATCACCTCCCTCATGATCTTTTTATTTTCTATGACCTCCTTGCCTCTTTTTAAAAATTTCCCCTAAACCTACCAAAATGTAGCTTTTTGGAAAAAAATTCTTTGCCAAAGTTTTAGAGGAAACAAAGAAGTTTAGATATCACTTCTCCTAGAGTCGCCGCTGCTGTACACCAGCATGGCCTCTGACTACAGCTTTGAAGGGTCTTATCATTATGCTAGGAGTTTATTTTCTTTAGCTATTTTCTCAGAACCTAACCAAAACCATGAAAAAATATTTTTTATTTAAATCTATTTAATGATGTCTGGTGAGTTTTGTGTTTTGTAGCACACAGACCCAGTAGTGAATTTCCCTACACTTAGAGAAATAATTCTTCCCCTAAGAAAAGTGTTTCCTCTGCTCAATGGTAGCCCATTTCCACAACTTTTTGTCAGTTATCCTGTAAGCATGTAATTTGGCTAATCAAATAAACATATACTAAGAATTGCAAACTCTAATGAGGAGAAGATTAAGGCAAGAAGGTAATTTAAAACCCACTTGAATAGATCAGACATGAAGATATAGGAATATAAACAGTCATAGAAAGAAAATAGGCTCCAGGTGTCTTGGCTAATGGGACAGGAGATCGGGGAAGAGAGTCATTTTAGAGGTCATTTTGGGTGTTGAACCCTGGAAAGTAGCAGTCCTTTGATACCACTGCCAGAAAATGAGCAAGGTGAGAAGTTCAACTTGGGGCGACACAAACAGTGTATTATGGATTAGAAATGACTCCTGTCATCTGTGTGAAATGTCTGGCATGTGGCTGAGATGTGGGAGCAGAGCTCAGGAGAGACAGGAACATCTGTGATGTAAATTTGTTTTTTCAGCCTGAGATTTTTTGGAGGGAGAAAGAGTGTAGAAGGAGAGAAAGAACAGATGATGAAGTTATTTTCACTTTTCTTTTTAAATATGGCGACTACAGGAATTTATCTAACAGTAAGACTAGAGCATTTATCTACATGAAAAAACTTTCGGTGAATAAAATGTTAATTTGTACAGACTATTCAAGTTTAAGCAATAAATACACAATTCATATAGTAACTAAAAAGTTCTAATTACCTATATTAAAATAATGGTGACTAACATTTATTTAATAGTAATTATATACAAGGTACTGGTCTTAACATAGTAAGTCATTTATCCTTGAATAAAAGTTATCACATAGGTTATCACTTTTATCATTAGCATTTACAAAGAGGAAAATAGCGACAGGTGTCCAACAAGTTCTCCAAGTTTCTGTTGCTAGTAGGGCTATAGCTAAGCTTTATACCCAAATAATTTGTCACTAAATAAGCACTTTGAATCACTATGCCATACTGCTGCTACATGGAACCATCTACATAAAAACCTTCAACAGATCTTTTCAACATGGTCCTGCATTCTCAGTAGAGAAGAAGTTATTGTTTTGTGTGAAGAAAATATGACTTTCTTAGATCTATATTTCAACAGGAGTCTCTATAGTTTGTAGATTCTTCTCATTGGGTTTATAATAGAGCAGTAGCTAGTACTTGGCTATGTACTAGTATGGCATGTTATACAGGAACAAATGTGAATGTAGCTCAGCAAATGATCTGCTATGGCTTCCTGCAGCTAGACCAGTTGTTAACCAAAGAAGCAGTACTGACTTTCTACAGTAATAATAATTTATATTAAAAGTTTGTATAATGCATACTTGATTAGTGTATCCAAAGGGGAAGCAACGTACATCCTGGTGTTAATTAGTCAGGGTAGGATAAATCTCCACCAGCATTCATTTCTTTTGATTTAAGTAATTAGAATTTGGAGAGTGGCTTCGCACTAAGTTTACTAGGTTAATCCCACCAGAATCTTCCTTCTTGGCACAGACTTGGGCTGGATAGGGGTCATTTTGTTTGGCAGGCCCAAATTTCTGCAGAAACTACCACACACGATGTATCATTCAGTCATTTGAACAATAAGTTCCTGAATAACCCAATCCATAGTCAATATCCCAAACTATGTTCAGATAAGGGCAGAAAATATGTAAGAAGAGAACCCAAGGACATCTCAGACAAAACAATAAAGTTTAGAGAACCAGAGGTGGAACACAACTACAAAATGTCAAGAACCAGAGGTCATAATAAAACCTGGGTTCTAAAATTGATAAATGTCAAATATGTGAACACATCAGAATGAACACAGAAGGTGGTTGTAGGGCTAGAACTACATGAGTACTATTTCATTTCACAAATGCACTACCTAGCCCATGTCAGCCATGAAAAGTGATGACTTTCCATTTCCTTGTCCTTGAGAAGTATTTGCATTGATTTTTTTTACTCGCAATTGGCATGGTCACCCTTGTGCTTCTTGGAAGTGAGATTCTTCTTTGCAGGTGCTTTTGAAAAGCGTTGCGCTAGTAGTGATGTTCCCTGCTTTGTGTTTTTGTTTTGTTTTGCTTTTCTCATCAGGTTGTTTTTCAAGGTCAAGTGATTGCCACCCATGAACAGGATGAAGTCATAGCTATTGATGACATATCTTTCAGTCCAGGCTGCTTGGCCGCAGATGGTAAGAATATGTTCCCTCATTTTGATCCTTATTGTATAAAATAGATTTGGTGCAATTTAAACATTGTAATAACTTCGATCTGCTCTCTGCTTTTGCCTGGTGTTTCAATGGTGGGATAATTTCTGTTGTTTTAGCGATCTGTATAACAGTGACTGGATCTATGCTGGAAGTGAAGAGAGGCTATTTTTCACAGACTGTGATACTATAAAGAGCTAAATAGGATAATTTACTTTCAGATTTGAAATCTCATAGCAATTTTTACACTGGCTAGTTAAATCTTAACAAGAAAGCTCTGTGTCTTCCAGGGGCTGGTAGAACACTGGTTTCCAAGGACTTATAGCTGTCTTGGAGAATTGGTTTGACTGTGATTGTGCTTCAAAATACAAAATAAATATTGTGATATTACCTATAATCTATTTTTATTTAGACTCAACAAGAAATACTGATAAACCACATAATTTAGATCTAAAAGTGTATATTATTTTAGTATGAAATACTTGAGACTGGGTGGTTTATAGTGAAAAGAGATTTAATTACTTCACAGTTCTGGAGGTTCAAGTGCATGGTACCAGCATTTTCTTGGCTCTGGTAGAACTTCATGGCAGATTCCCATCATGGTGGATAGCATAGCAGAAGAAAGAGAAAAGGGGGGAGGGAGAGAAAGAAACAGAGAAAGAGAGAGAAAGAGACACTGGAAGTCAGAGGCACTTGGCAAGGAAAGGATTGCTATCACTGGTCAAGATCCCAAGAAATGCACATCAGTTTCTTCCAAAGATAGTGACCTCAATCATCCAAAGACCTCATTAAATTCAGTCTCTTAAAGGTCCCATCTCCTCTTATCATTGTCATTTTGGCAACCAAGCTTTCAACGCACTCGCTCCATCCATCCATAAACCATGGTATGTTTTTTTGTTTTCTTGAGAGGGGTTTCAAGTTCTAATTTGGTACAAAGATACAATGTTTGTAATAACTAGTATTTTAAAAGCAGAAGAAATATGATCTTTCCCATAATAAATAAGGGCCCCATAACTCTACTGTGTGATAGCCCTGGATTCAAAGTGCAGCCAGCTTACACTTGATTTTTAATAAGACATTTAATTTCCTTCCTAACTCTAATAATTTCAATAGCATCTTTGATATCTCAAGTCTATAGCTTCTGCAGTAATTTGGGTCTGCCAAATGAAATGATCCCTAACTAGCACTATTCCTTGGCTAGTCCAGTTAATCATCCACAAAAGAGAAATAGTCAATGAAATCAGCTATTGGCTAGATTTCCCTTACTGTTGGGCTACTGCCATCAAAATTGTATTTACATTACAGTTTGATGAAAGAGCATTCTTGGGCAGTGACTGCGAGTGGAGATTTCCTGTAAAAAACCCTATTCTCATTTTAGATATGAACTTTCTGTCATTAGCTCTGGGAACCAAAGTCATTTCCTAAATTACCCTGATCTACATACTAGGGCAAAGGTCAAGGTTGATGGGCCGTAATAAACATTCAGAAGAGAAATGTCAGATTTTGTAGCAAGCACTTCAAAAACTATAAAATCAGTATAGAAGTAAAGGAAAAAAAGTATCTGTAGACCTGTAGTTGAAGTGGAAACACCAGAAATTTGAACATTTGAGGGAAAGTTGTGATCAAACTGAAAAAAATTGAAATGTGCAGTGTCCAAGGCAATTGTTCTAGACATTATTATACTTGTAATGTATTGGAGGCAGTCTCATTGAAGAGGAATCATGAATAAATTTCAAGGCTCTTTCTTTTTACTATGGCTTTCTGCTGTGTCTGGTGCAGCTCTCGATGTTCCTGGGGAAAAATGGTGGAGGGATGAAGAAATAAAGACAAGACATGAAAGCTGAGGTCAGGTGGGGCCCTCTCTCCTGATGGGAGGAAAGGAACTGCCCAAGATCTGTAGAGCATTTATTTATACACTCAAGATATCAGTTTCAACCTCTCTGCCTAGCTAACAGTTTTCCAGCTGAAACTGCTTGTTTACATGGCTGGAGGAGCTCCCTGTGTTCTCCTGCCGGCTTTGTCTTAAACCCAACGTGTGATTGATAGCCAGTTTCAGCCACTCCCTACAGCTTTTATATGGATATTAAATCTATACAACATGACAAAGTTTGAGACTAGAAAGGAGGACTTTGAAATTCAATATAGAAGTCTTCAAAAATGTGGAAGCTATGCATGCATGGGTGATAGAATGAGAGGATGAATGCACGAACGTAGGTGTTTTACACATGGAAGGATGATTATATAGAAGAAAAATTAGGGATTTAGAAAAATAGTAACTTTTATTTTAGGTTTTGTGTTTTATGGAATTTTAGCAAAGGATGCCACCTAACAGGAAAGCTGCAAAGGAAGTGGTTCTTCATTTAGAGAAAACCAAAATTTAGGTAAGATCACCTGGTGTGTTCTTTGAGGAGGAAGGTACAGTGAGGGTCTTTGGTTTTCAAGTAAAATAAAAATTATGGGTATATTTAAACTTCTGAAAGGAAGACACAACAGTATGAAGATTAATAATACATTCAAAGAATAAAGCATTATGGGCTAACCTTGGTACTTGGATGCAGTTGTGTTTTGTAAATGAGAAGAATGTGAGAAATTATAAAACTAAATAACATTACATTCCCAATGAAACTCATGAGTGAAGTTAAATCTTGCTCAAAACAAACTAAACCTAGTTAATCATCAGAGTCACATAAGGAAATGGGTTTGTTCTGGACGTTCTTCAGATCTGTTAGATGGGAATCACTGAAGATATGACCTAAAATTAAAAGGGTAGGGAATTTTTTTTGTGTTGTGAATAAGTCCAAGTTTAAGACCAGTGCTAGCATTTAGGAATTACAAATACCAGGTCTATGCTTATTATTCTACTTGGCAATAGCTGCCCTGTTGCAGAGTTCCAACCAACTAGAATCAGTAGTTTCAGTCTCATGCAGTCTTGGTTGGTGATGGTTGGAAACAAAACCAAACCCATATCTTCTGGACATTTCCTTTAGAATATCTTATCCTAATTGGATAGAGCTTCAAATGCATTTAGATGCAAAAAAAAAAAAAAAAAGACAAATCTGCTAAAATGACTTAAACTTAGAGGACAGAGATAGTTATGGTGTAGATTCTTTAACTCAAACACTGTGAAAGTTAAGAACTATGTGATTTTTCTTTTTCCATGAACCTCATGTTTGTTACCTTATAGTCACAGGATGATTGTTGAAGCTCTCTGTGCATGTCACATTTAGGGCATGAAGCAGGCAGAAATGGGAGAGGAGTCAATATTTTTGGCTATGTGATTCAGTAGACAATTCTTTCACAAATGATCTTAGTTGCTAGAAAGGACAATAAAACTGAATATTTTAATATTCAGATAAATGTTTTCATATTATCTGGAAATAAAGACAGGCAGGGCAAAAAGGATTATGAGTTGAATGAACAAACATTTTTTATGGAAACTCAAAGTGAACATGTTTCAAAGTAAATTTTAATTTTCCTGAAAAATCTATTCCCTCACTTACATTACCTATTTTAGTCAATGGCATATTCATCACCAGAAGTCTGGCTCTAAAAGAAATACACAAGGAAGTTTTTCAGGTGGCAAAAACCAAGAAACCAGAGAAAAATTCCAAATGTCAAGAGTAAAGGCATAACAATTGTACACCCAATACTTCACACCTGCCACTTAAAGAGGTTTAATTTGGCTCAGGAGATCAAGCCTATGGTTGGCTGGCTCCAAGGCAGAAACATGATAGAAAGGTCTGGGAGAGAAAAAATGCTTAATTCATGGCAATGAGGAAGCAGAGCAGAGACCCAGAGAAGAATGTACAGGGCAGGCAAGGGACCAGATATAATACCCAAAGTCATGCCTACATGACCTGCCCAGACATATCCACAAGTGTTCTGTATAATTTCCCTGGGGGCTCCCAAGACAATTAAGTTGACACAATTAGGTTTGACCATCACATCTTATCCTTCATCAACTTCACACCTAAACACATTTCCTTAAACCATACTTAATGTGCAAAGAAACACAAGGTTGTAATTCTGCCTAACATGATACTATTATCTTGTGTACAACTGAAAGTGTACTACACTATTCTCCCAAATCTCAACTATTCTAGAAGTTTTCAAAAGTCCAACTGGAAACTCAAGGCAAAGTCTTTGATGAAAAAATAAATAACAGGTTACATAATCTCAAGGCACAGTGGTGTAAGGGAAATAATCACATTCTAAAGGGGAGGAACAAGAGTATAAAAATGCTTCAGACCAAAGTAAGACTGAAACCCTGCATGGCAAACATTAATTCCTGTATATCCAGATCTGGTATCTCAAGCATGGAGTAGTAAAATGTGAATTCCAAAGGGCTTTGCCCTTTATGGCCCGACCGGTTGCAACTCACATACCTCTCCTTGAGATGGCTCCACTCTTCGCTTACCTGTTTTATTGGCAGATATTCTGCATTTTCTGGCATCTCCTGAATGTCTTTACTGCATATTTGGCTTCATTCCTACAGCCTCATATACTGTTCTCTCAGGCGCTCCTTGCCTGGTTTTATAGACTTTCTTCGGAAATCTGGGTAAAAGCCTCTCTGACCCCACAACTGTTGTATTCTACATGCCTCTAAAACCAACATGATGTGGATTAAATCAAGGTGTCTTGCCAGAAGTAGCAGGAGTCACACCGTTTGGACTATGGTTGCAGCAACCTGTAAATGCCTGGATGGCTGAGCATGGTGAAATGAACCTTAGAGTACCAGTTCCCTAGGAGGCCCTTCCTGAGCAAGGGTAGCAGAATCTCGGTTCTCAAATGAAAGGTTTCCACTGTTGCTACCTGGACCTGCAATGGGTAAGGTCTCGATGATTGTTGAGATGTCCTCAAAGTATCTTTTTTCTTGTCCCTGTACAAAGTGTTTGGTTTCTCTATAGTAGCCCCAATGTCTTTAGCAGCTACACTTCATTTGGCCTTAATTTTTTCACATGGTTTCTTCTGTGTCAAAATTTAAG